GCATCCTTGGAGCGAAGGCGTGTTTGATGAGTATCCAAAACAAACACATATACATACACACATGCACATTACTCATACTCATGTTCAAACCACATCCATTCGACGCTGGTGGGTTTATATTCCTCTTTCTTTTTGGGGACAAAACTTAAAATTCTAAATTTGTGAAACTTTCCAAGAACCAATTATTAAATGGCTTTTATAAAGAATCTGATAGCAAATTCAAATTTTGATCAAATTGAAGTCCTCCAAGAGTATTAAAAGATCAAGTTTTCCAGTTCTGACGAGTGAGGGTTTCATGTCCAGACAAGCCTCCCAATCGAGATAAAGGGGAAGAAAAGTAAGAGTGAGACGGTGTCATCACGTTAATCCAAATGTACACATACACACACACACACACAAAGTTAAAAAAGGGGTTGTGGTGAAACAATTCAAAACATCAAATGGGCACTTAGTCAACAACTCAAGACCACAACATTGTTATTCTTGCAGTATGAAAAGCCCAGGTAATTCAGTGATTTATCAGCTACTGTGTGCTTGGGCTGCGTGCACATGCATGAGAGAAAGCCATAGCTGAAAGTCAGAGGCATTTAATGTGGAATGAGCAGGCATGTCTGCACATTTAGATTTCATTCTTAAAGCATATACAGTGCGCGCACACACACACACACACACACACACACACACACACACACACACACACACACACAGCACTGGCATATAAACAGAAACAGGCAGACGCAGGCAAACATTACACCCTTTGATCGAGCACCTGTCGAAATCAGATCTTCAACAGTCAAACACAAAAGCCGACTTGCAGTAACAAACCTGGATTCACTTTGCAATGTATAGAAAAGTCCAAACACAGGGAGTGTATTATTCTTGATTCAGTGCTGTGCGAAGGGGCTAAAAACCAGGTCCATAAGGGAAAAAAGGTGCTGGGACAAAACAATCCAGCCCAAGTCTGACAACAATTCTGTCAAGACCAAGAACGTTTCAGCTGTCAAACAAAGTTAACTTGATTTTCCTTTGAATACATTTTCTCCCAAACATTGTGAGATTTTGTTTGTAAAGGAAACATCAACAACAATTACTGCAGAAAAAAAAACTTGCGAGATGACGTCGAGTTTCCATATTCCCCACTCTTCCCTGTGTCACATGATTCAGGTTCCTGACCTGCGTCGACCTCCAGTTTTTCCTCCACTAACACAGACGTCACCCCAGGCCCAAACTTTGACCTCTTACCTCTCCCACTGAACACCTCAGCTGGTTCTCTTTACAACAGATGTCCTTACCACATTCTGTGTTCTGACCTGTGCCAGACTGCAGCTCTACAAAGCCCAAAGACAACCAAAGCAGGAACTGGATTTAATATTAGACTCATGAATTATCATATTATATTTACCAAGCAGGAAAGCTTTGTTCTGATTTGGCTTCATGGTATTATTTATTGTTTTTATTCTCCTTATGTAAGGAAGTAAGTTAGTTATAATGACTTGTTCTTTTTAATTGACATGTAACTGCTGGAGCATACATGGGACCCTATTCTGACACTGTTGGTACCATCAGGAAGCAAAGACACATTTATTTGCCTAATATACAAAATGAAAATCCAGTGCAATCCAACGGTTTAATACGTTTAGTCTGATCAATTTTTCTAGACCTGCATACACTTAGAAACAACCAGGACTCAATTTTTTACAGGATGGAGTGATGAGACATAATGACTATGTGAATAAACCCTCTAAAAAGTTTTTTTTTTTTTTTTTTTAATGCCAGCTGGCATTAACCTGTCTTCCAGGTTTTTAAGTAACACTAATACTTGTGTGTAATTACACCATGTGGTATGTTATCTACCAAAGTTATCAACAACAGTGGTAATGTAATGTCACAACGGTTTCAATTGTTATCAGTCACTGTTGTGCCCATAGGCTGATAGTCGGTGGTGTTGAACACTGCTTTAAAAGGTTTTACTCCAACTGCTGGTTCAACAGATACAGTTTACGTGTATAAAATAAAGCTTTTCTATTGGGATGCTTCAGTTAAAGTGCACTACATCTTCACATTACATTAGAGTTTAAATGAAGGTGGTAGAACTACAGGAATATGTGTCATTTGTGTTTTAGAACATTCTAGGGTTACTAAAAGTAATTCTAGAGAATTAACAGTTTTCTACGATACTTTAAAAGAAACAACAACAGAGGGTGTTTTAGGCCCTCAGGTGAAATAGCCACAGTTAACTTGTCAGTCCAGGTGTGCTGCCCAGGTGCAACATACAACCTTCTGCAGTCTAGACAGCTTCTATTTAGAAGATGACACAATGTCACGTCTCCATGCAGTACTACCAACAAAGAAGTGTTGAGGTAACCGTTGACTAGCACAACTTCTATTTATTGGATCTTAACAATTCTGTAATGGAAATTATGTTTGAGAGGAAGGTAGAATCATGATTTCAGGCCATTAATACTTCCAAACACCTTTTTCTTAAGAGCAAAATGTTGTATGCACCTTAGCGCATATGAGCATTTTACGAATGCAAATCCAAATAAACCACTCAAAAGGCAAAACTGGAAACAAAGCATTTAATCGTTCTCGTAAAACAGTCATCTGACAAGCAACTAGCATGGCTAGGAAAATATACAAACATTACTCCAGAAGTGTCCTAAATATGATTTATTTGAAAGTGTATTCTGTGATTGATACATTTCAAGTTACAAAAGTTACATCAGTTTGTATATGTGTAAGCTTGCAAAGTTTTTTATTTGGCAATTCCACATTTTACTTCAGGTTATTAACTATTTCTTTAAAAAAGTGAATCTTTGTTTTGTTTGTTAGTAGAAAGTGGGTTAACTGATGTGTTGGTGCTATGACCGTATTATTTTGTAGTGACAATTACGTTAGCTTAATATGTTTTCCATATTATACAACTGTGCTTAGCCCACTGACAAACATGCACATGCACACTCACACGCGCACACGTACATCCATACATTCATGCACACACAGGTGCTAACATAGGGAAAGCTGTAATTCAGCTTCAAAGGGAAACCTGAGAGGGTCATGAATAATCACAGACATCTTTGTCTGTTGGGGAAAACAGCACTGTCCATCTGCCCTCCATACATATACATACCAGCTCATAAGGCCTAAGCTTTTTTTAGGCACTGACGTTGGGTCAGCTTGTGGATTGGAAGTATATATATATAATAACAATATCTCATTTGAAACTAAAAACCAAATTAAAATGCATAATTAAAAATAATATAACAGTTCTAAAATAATTGCCAATAATATTTAGCCAACAGAAGAGCATTAAAAAAACAACATTAAAAGCAGATGGAGATGTAGATTACCAGCCAAGCCAAGATACAGGCGCTGGGTAAAATGTTAGATTCCGTTAGTATAACTTACATATTTTGAAAACCTTGCCTATGGGTACATTTAGGTTGCTATAAGCTGAAAGTCTTTCTGTGCTGCAAAATGACATAAGCAACAACACTTTGTTACAGTTGATGTTGACGTTGTTGTGTTTGATTGTGTCAGCTCCTTTTTAGAATGCAAAAGTGTGGGGATACATTGTATATCCTCTTTAGCTTGTGGTGGATACACTATATTTGGTGAGACCTACCTTTCATGGCATAAAGTTAGTGGTCTAACAGGCTGCCAGCTGCCTGTTACATTGATGACCGAAACGTAATAATTAGATTTATTCTTTGGCTTTATGCAAGAGCTATGTGGCAAGGCCAGTGGCTGCGATCCAGTGACAAAGGACATAAAATGTACACGCTTGACTTTACATTAGCAAGCCTCTGCAATATTTGCATATTCATTTCTTATGAGGATATCCTCTGTGCTAACTGTGTGGATAAAGTACAGTATCTGCTGAGATGTCCTGTAAGATATACAGCCAGACTGCTTCCCACTTCCTCTGTGGACCAACTGAGAGGTGATGAAAACACTCTCTGCTCCCCTACGGCGCACACTGGCAGAAAAAGTGAAGCTCGTAAACAATTTAGACAATCTAGTTTTTTACAGAACAGAGCACATTTCTCCGAGAGAGCTTTACGCGCCGGCCTACGCTGAAGGGTTCAATACGCTTTCTTATCCAACACAGATGTACATACACAATGCTGTAAGTACAGACTATGAACATGGTGTGTGTTTTTTTTTACATAAAAAGCCTAACATGGCTGACCAACTGTTGGCTACTGTTAAGGCCTTCTAAGTGTGATAATGTTTGTTGTGCGTAAATGTTGGTCCGCGGTGACATTCCTCCCCTGTCAAAGCCTCGAAAGGAATTCCCTTGTAGGAGTGGCAGGCATGAGGTCTGTGTTTAGCACACATGCTTACACACACACACATAATTACACCCAAATATACACTTAAGAGTTTATAGAATTGATCAGCTGCATACCCGCACAAGCAGCATGCCCCACCCAGACATAAATAAGGATAACCTCAGCAGCAAACTTCAAGTTGGACATTGGAGCTCATCAGAATCTACAGGTCCTTTAAGGGTTTTGTAATATGAGCGCAGAGAAAGACAGATAGAAAAAGAGTGAGAGATAGAAGGAGAGAAAGGTAACCTGATGTCCCAGGAGATTTTTGAACAGTTCACATTGAAGTTGGGAGAACCCCCTTTTTTTTTCTAATCCTCACCTCCAGTCTCTATTTCTTTCTACCTCTTTCATTCCCTTCTCCATCCATTAACACCTGGTAAACTATACCGTAACTGATAGAAAACTTTCAAAGAACAACTTTACATTCATCATCCAACCAAAACATTCATAGTAGGTTGTAGTAAGCTCGGATTTTCTCCCTGCAGCAGAGGTCTAACTGGCTGCTCCTGATTTCAGTCTCAATTCAGCGTCTCCACTTTCACTTAATGACAGGTACGAAGAAAGTCTTTGTGTAAATCCTCTGAGCTAGTCTGTATTGAGATTTATCTGTCACCTCAGACATTTACACAAGATTCAATTAAAGTCATAAAAAGTAGAACTCACCGCCCTGTCAATGCCACTTCTTGTCTCTGTCCACTGAGTGACAACTTCCCAATCAACTGTTGTTATATTCCACCTCACTCTCTTTTCTCCAGACAGAGGGCAGAATTATCCCAAACTCCAAAATCCCGCTCCTGCTTTTAAAGCTGTGAATCCAGGTCTTGGGCCATCCACTTCTGTCTGTCTCCCTCCCACACTCTTTTGGAAATGGATTGTTCTAAAAGTTTAGTAGAGGAGTCCCAAAGCTGCTCCCTCCCTCCCTGTGAGGCTAACTGCAGGTCCTAGTGCCTACCCATTCCACATGCTCTATGAAGGGAATAAAAACCACACAGCTGCTCGTAATTTACACCTAGCTGCTGTTTTTAATTCTCTTTCCAGTCGACATTTTATCCACATTTGTCTCTTGTGCAACTCTGTGGAAATCCACTTTCACCCTGGGATGATTCAGCCTTTTTTCATTTCAGACTTGACATCACCTTATACTGAGGTCAGGGTTTCCCCATTGTTGTTCCATACTAGAGTCATTGCTACTGTTGCACAGTTATCCTTGGAAAAGAGTTTGCCTCTTCACTGCATGTCCTCTTTATAACAATATAGAACAGGTGAAGATTTACTGTCAGAACCATTCTGTTGGTAGACTGAGTAGTATCATCTACTGGTGTTTCGGTGGGCAGCACATGTGGAGAGCAAAGGAGGGGGAACGTGTCGACCATAATCTAACACCAGAAACCATTGGCTACCTGTTGACGATTTATCTCCATATTAGTCATTTGAACATAATGTGCAAGTGCAACCAACAGCCCAGTCTTAGATGTAGATGTCAACTCCAACTCATTTCTCAGGAAACTGAAATCTTGGAACCGATCGCTACTTTCTTAGATAACATTTTAGCCTCTTTGAGGGATAGCCAACAAGTAAGCTGCACTCTCATGAAAATGTATGTTTATCGAGATTACTGAAAAGCTGATTGGCCATCAGATGAAAGCCAATATTTTAAGCGGCTGCATTATGTCAGAAGTATTTCTTTGCTCTTCATTTCAGCTGTCTTTTTGCACAGCAAAACCTCACTGTAACACTAGTGAATGATACGACTTGGACTACAGCTGGAAACCAGAAGACTTCCTGCGTCAAAAATCAGCATTGCACTCTGAACTATTACAAGTAAAAGGAAAGGCCTGAAAATTAGGCTGTTTATCCTAGAGGCTCTAGTACACAGACAACAGCAGACTATAGCTGACGTGTTTGGAGATTGCCGTGCATGGTGTTAGACCACTAACGTGCTTCATTTAGACTTTAGAGTATGATTTTAAAAGTCAAACAGCTCATCAACTATTTCATATTAGTGGCACAAAACCATTTTCTGCTTGTCTCTCTACATCGGAAGGCTGTTCCTCGTAAAAACGATATCATGAGGACATTGTCAATGATGGAGGATAGGTTAGAAGAATTGTATGGTTGGTATTCATGATCAAAAGACGATTGTGATCATAAAGTTAAGACCAGTTAAACAGCTTGTCAACCTTATCAAAAATGTACACAGTCGTTCTTGGAAGCTGATAACATATGAACAGTCATTAGTGAGTTAAACATTGAAAAATGCCTTGCAACAAAATTCCTTGACTTTCAAGAATAGATCTTTGATGGTCTGTTGCAACCAGTAATTCACCTCTGCTACTTGTCAATGGCAAATGGAGAAAATAAGTGAAATAGAGCAAACCACGCAGCTATGATATCCCCTCACCCTGATGGCGATGAGCCACACCCTGCATTCAGCAGGGCCTCCAGGCTCCAGTATCACAACACTCTTTCTCTTGGCATTTTTCCCCCTCATTTGTTTATGCATCTTTCTTTTCCAGTCTTGCCTTTTCACTTTCTTTCTGGCTCTGTGCATTTCTCTGTTTCACAGTTTCTTTCTGACCTGAACCGTATCATTGTCAGAGCCCCTGGCGCTGAGCAGACAGACAACCCACCCTCCTTCTCCGACAGACAGAGAGAGTGGAGAAAAGTGAGAGAAAGGAGAGAAAGAAAGGATTGTGTTTCAGTGTCATCTCTTTCTCCTCTGCTGCTTGGGAAAAATGAAAATTCCTTTTACCTTGGGTTAAAACAATGATCGCATCTTGGTGTTAATGGAAGAAAATAAAAAAAACTTCATTGGGTGCAAATAGGCGCTGGTAGAGGTAACAAAAAAATAAACTTGAAGGAGGTTTGTTCTGCTCCAGAATTCTGACCCCGATTGATGAGTTCAAAACCCAAGTCTGCGTTTTCCCAAAGCTGGCTCCTTTTGATGCGAAGTGTGTGCATGACATTTTCTGATATGTGTGTGTTTATGAGCTTGTGCAACTGTCAAAACTGCCTGGGCCCTTGTTATCAAGGCAGAGTTTGAAAGGGGAAACCCCCGTCAATGAACTCCGACCCCACACCCCACTTGGGGGTTGGTTAAGGGTGAGAAATGCTGAGGTAGGGTGAGCACTTTGAGCTGGAAGGGTGGAGATGAGGTCAGGAGTGCACTAATATCCTCCTGAGGAGCTCTATTGGTGAGTTAGACCTTATTTCAGGCCTAGACCTTATACACACACAGGTCATTTTTTAATTACATTTTTGATCAGGTGTCATCATGCTAGGTCATTTCCTTGAGTTTAGGTTTATGGGAAAGGGCACAAAGTTGCTTTAATATGAATTCAGCTTTTTGGTACTTGAGTTTGAGTGTGCAATAACAACAAATTATTATTTGTAGTTGTTTATTTAAAAAGGAATGATAAATTTAACACACCCTTCCCATAACATGGGAACAAGGCTGTTTGAGGTTTTGTTGCTAATTATTCCAGTGCACGTGTCTGTGTCTGTGTCTGTGTGTATTATAGTAACTGGAATTACTCACAAATCCAGTCCTAATGTGTGGTCTTCGATTAACAGCTCTATAAATTCGGGGAAATGCTTGCGAAGGCTTGAAGTCTTGTTCCGACATTACCACAGTGCATAATTATTAAGATGTGTTCTACACAATACCACATAATCTGTGGAAGAAGACATTGGCTAATTCTTCTCGACCATATTGCCGTAGGCCACCAGTGCACACACTAGCATAAAATCCACATTCAATATTCAATATATTTTCTTCAAAGCACTTCAAAACGAGCTAACCTAGAGCCGCTCTCAATGTGTTTCAATAACATCAGAGGGAAGTGGTCTGACAGGTTTCTCTCTGGCACATGACACTGCTCACGGACACACAGGCCTGCTGATACACACGCACACACAAGCTCATGTTGAGGCACACATGCCTATTCATCTCACTCTCTCTAACAATGATTTCACACTTAATTTGAACGTCATGTGTCAAGGTTCATTGACATCCTCAGTCCTCCAGGTGTTATGATGTTGCGTCAAAGACAACTTGAGTCAAAACTACAAAAGTTATGTCCCACACACTGGGTAGCTGATTGTTTTCGATGGAGACCTCCATCGCAACTTGTCACATGACACTTTTTTAAAACGGATAAATGCCGATGAACAAATGAAACTATTCTAAAACTCCTTCTTACCCTGACATATCTGACTGAACTTTTTTTTTTATCTCTGCTTACTTTATGCTGAATATTAATGAAAAGCTCATTCACAGACCACCCTCCTTTACGTTCTCTTTTCTACTCAGAAATTCATGACACATATTTTCTAACATTCATTTTCTCTTTTCCTTATTAGTCAGTCAAAACCTACACCAAAGAATGATTCATTGACTGAGTCAGGCCTAGTTATCCATATGTCACAGGGAAAGGTGTATGAATGGTTTAATTTCACCTGCACTCTTTGTTGGCTGTGTGTGCCTTTGGTTGTGTGTGTGTCCTTCTGCGAAGCGACTGAATGGCTGTTCCTTTGCGCATTGTTGAGTTAGAAGGCCTGTCCTCCTACACCCTCATCATGGCCTTGCACTGACGCATCCCCGAAGCCTCTTCACTCATTGACTCTTCTGTCCCCTTCCTCCCACGACCTCGCTCTGCAGAATCCTGCTATTGTCCCACCACGTCAAATACACAGGCTAGCAAACAGCCAGGCTCACACTCACACCAAGCATGCACAGCAATAGATTTTGAGCATCAGTAAAGCCTACCTGAAGCCATAGAAAAGCATACTGTACATGGCTTACTCACATTAAATCAAGGCATGTTCCCAAGCTGAAAGTTCTACTGTTATTCCCACAGTTGCCCTCCAACCCTAATCTCCCCATAATGGAGACCGAGCCCTTCATTAAACCCAAAGTCCGTGTGTGTGTTTGTGTGCCTGTGTCTGTAACTCTGGTTCTGAGTGCTGGGTATTTTAGTGTATTAACCTTTAGCCTCTCTCACCATTGTTTCTGTGACATGCCCCCGTGCTACTGAAACCCGTTCCCAGAGATTCTGGCAAAATGTTGAATCTACCAACATCTTGGTTTAATTTTGTATCTGGGTCCACGCCAGACTGAGGGATGAAGGCAAAGTCTTCACATTATATCCAAGTCTTAAGATCATATCAGAATCCAAAAGCTGAACTCAGATTTGAACTTGTTTCCTTCATATGAACACAGCTTTCACAATTTAGTTTTCTTTGTCAATGACATTCCAACATTTCTGACAGGAATTAAAACTTTTCAATATTCAGTCAACAATCTCATACTGATGATTTTCTACTTCATCTTCACACGACAACCACGGTCTTTGATGTCACACTCATGGTAAGAAGCTCAAATATGCTCATAATGTTGTATTACTGTGTTCCAGGTTGAAAGTCTTTAATAAAGGAAAATGTACTTAACTTGTAATTTCCCCAATATTTGCTTGACTGGCTTCTGAAAAGACAATCAAACTCCACATGGACAATGGGATACGTCTCTGCTTTAAACACATTTGACAAATCAACATTTCTAATGCTTTCTGCCATATTAGACCTTTGCTGACTTTACTGTCAGCAAAAGCTTACATGCATGCAATGATTCTTTTCTCACATAACATTATTTTACAATCTGGTCAAAAATACTACAGGTGACTGGATTGGCTGAAGCCTGAACTGAATTTAGTCAAGAAGTGGTATCTGTTAGAGGCGCATATTCCTAGAACAAATTGCCATAACATGTCAGGGATTATGAGAACTAGTTGGTGTCTATGGTATCCAAATCAAAAGCTTTATGCAGGTTTTCAAAAAGCACTGTCTTTC